TATATAGTTTATATTCTGTAGGTTTAGGCTGAAGTTGGAAATCTGAGTACCTGGCAGAAATCCAACCTACAAAATGAATCTGTGATAAAGGTGAAATTGACAACTTTATCACTGCACTAAATCATACTCTTAAAGGGGTTGCAGTTTATTAGTGGGTCAGACTGATGGAACTGGAATCAAAGCTTATCTTAGTCTCATTGTGCCTCTGAGCAAGACAGCTCACTCACATTGTCACATGGAGTCAATACATGGGGCTCCTTGGTTTGGGCATCTTGCATGAATAACTTCCCAAACAATGATGTGATATTGTGTTGAATAGCATTTGTTTTTGACTTGGTGCATTCTTGTTTTGGTGAGAACAAGATTACTGCACTGGAAACAACTGTCAACTCAAAGCTAATGTAGTGAAAATGTGTCCAACAAGCGTGCAGTGTCAAATTTTGCAAACAGCACAAGAGTCTAATTACATTTGAAAAGTGTGGAAATATTGGCATGTTTTCGGTGACTGCAATATTCCTTTGTATTTTTATCTCTATCATCGCAATTAATTGTTTGTTTCACACAAGCCTTCAGGCAGAACAAGTGCACACAGCAAGCACAGCAACATGGGGAGATGTTGGCCATTCAGTGTGCTCCTGTGAATCATTGTTCAAGCGAAGCATGCCTTGGCTGATCGGGCTGATCAACGCTTCATCCAGGTGGAGATGATGGATGTGCAGGAGAATATTTGGACTCAGCACATTTCGGCTAACCTTTTGTCTCCCTTTCCGGCATCGTGGTAATAATGTCTGCATTGTCAGTAAATAAAGCGACATAAATGGCAAGCTTTGTCTTCATCAAAAAACAGACCAAAAGGTATTTATTTTTCTGCATCTGTTGTTTGTACAGAGCTTATTCAGTCTCGCTGGGACTAAAGATTTTAAATGTAGTTAAATTAAGGTCTTGGAGGAGACACACTCTTGCTTTGTTTAACCAATCTCTTTCATCATCACTGTAGAATCACTGAAATGTGTCAGTGTGTTATGCCAGATGCCCTTCCTGATTGTGAGTAGCGTGCACCTGGGTTGCTACAAATCTGCTGCCATTACACATCCCAGTTTCAATTCTGTTTTGGATGTTATTCCTTCCATAAAACACAATGTACCAACATAGTGAACTTTGATTTTAATCATTTTGTTTTTGAAGTTGTGTAATCTTTAAAAGCTTCTGAGAATAATTGGATAGACTGGTTGCGTCAGAACGTATGAAGTGGTTATGAAATGATTTCTACCTTTTGTAACTCCAAAGGCTTTTGTCCAAATTAGGCCTATTTGGATTATGGAACCAATACTATTACAATAGTACAATCTTCACATTTAAGTTATTAACAGTCATAGATGCCCAGAGCACAGTTAATCACTCACTCCCAGTTGATGTAATGTCTTGCCCAAAGACACAAGTACATGTGGAAATCAAACTATCACCTTAGCTTTAGTGTACAAACATCTCCAAATGAGAACACACAAATAGCCCCAGAATAATATAGGTGTCAAGATGTGATGTAATACATCTAGCTTTTGTTATTTTTTAGGCTGCATAGTTTTTTTTTTTCGGTTTCTCCCTGATAAAATACAATATTCCAGTGTAGTCTGATGTCTCTGATGTCAAACAAACTTTTACAAAGCTCAACTTGGATAAATAAGACAACCTTTTGAAAACCTTTTGAATTCTTGTTGCTCTAGAAAGAAAGGACATGGAGGGTTGCATTTAGAAGTACAAGTTCGTGTTGTATATTTGCTAGAAGTGCTACGTGTTCTGGTATTGTGAGATTTTGAAATTGAAATGGCATCTTTTTGGTGACTCAGCAGCGATGGAACAGTGAGTGCCTCTTCTCATTTGAACCTTTTTACAGCTTGATGCTTTTAAACATGCAATATTACCTCTATTTTATAATACGTCTGCAAGAAAGTTGCTATACTTAACTCGTCTGCAAAATTAGCAAACCTTTACAACAGTGACAACGCTATACCATTCTATACGAAGCCACCCAATTACCAGACTTTTCTACTTAATTTTGACTTAATTTGGCAGTTTTGTCCGTGAATATGCTGAGTACACTCTTATGCAAAGGTGACTATGTCTTCTATACAAATCAGAGCAAGGTCGTTACATTGCGGGAGGCCACTTAGTCCCATTTGCAGGAACATGGCTAGATTTGACACAGTGGGGCATGGTATTTACTTTGAGGCTCGGGTTGAATAGAGCACCGCATGATCCAGTATAAGCACTGCCTCTAATTATAGACCCCATCGCAAAGTAGAGAGAGAGAAAGGGAGAGATGCTGGAATTGGCCAGGAAAAAAAAAAAAAAAACAACAGTCAGTTACAGCATTAGAGCGAATCACTAAAGCTCCCGGCTCAAATCCCTCATTCAGGAAACAGCGAGCACGCTTCCCTAATAAGCACCCAGTTTCAGGACAAAAGGCGGGAGAGAGATAGGTGAGGTGTAGAACAAAAATGGTTGATTTTTTTTGGTGCTCAGACAGCTAATTGATAGCCGGGGTAGTTGGAGCAGGCAGCTGTATAACTCACAGGTAAAGGATAACCAGAGCTAATATCACACTGACCATCTCAAATCGCCTCTGAGCCCCTATGGCAAAAGTTATGAGAATTTAGGAGCGATTTCACTAAACATATATTTCTAGTAGGCATGAATAAATCATCTTCAAAATTAAACCAAATGTATTGCCAAATATGTAATAAGTTCAATTTCTACGTTTCATTTCATCTGCAAACCTGGTCTCATTAGTATGATGAGGATAAATTTGCAATCATGGCATTGCCATGTGGGCGTATGGTCTCTGGCCAGCAATAGGCACAGGAAACAGGATTAAGTTGTTTGCAAATGACTTGTGTAGGAGACAGTGAATATTTTAGTAATACATTGGTCACTTATTTGAATGTACATAGACATGCCAGGTGTTTACTGTTTGAAACGGTGGATTGGTACATGTTTTTTTGTTGTCTTTCTGTAAAGTCCAGAACAAAAAAAGTTGCAAATTCACAGTTTATTGTTCAGATATGATGTGTCTAAAATCCCTCAGTCGTCCAGGTAGAATCCACGGAGAGGAGGAATGCAATTTGTCAACTGGACAAAAGTTTTCAGATTTGAATTAAAGCTACCATATCTAATTAGATTAACTGATCTGACCCTGTTGTATTCTCACATTTCACCACTGGATGCTATCTACATTACTGCTGTCTGATAGTGTACCAGCTTTGGTCTGACAGAAGATCAGAGAGCACAGGTGAGCCTAAACAAATTCAGTGGGAACAGGTTTTACATCTGACATCTTCTGGTAAAATAAAAATCAAATAAACTGACAGACAGTAGCTGTAAAGATACTTTTACTAAAATGTATTGAATTGTATTTTATCCCAAAATTCTTCAAATGTTCTGGTATTGGATCTTGTTTTTGTTCTGTAATGTTCTAATGTGTAAAATGAAAGACTTATTGTCAAATGAACTGAATCTGCCGCAACCCGTCTGCACATATTTCACCTATCTACTAAGTGTATCTGTGTTGGCATCACTGCGATGCACTATCTTTGATATATAGGGTGGGCCTATGACATTGTGCCGACACCCACATCCTTGGACACTAGTGCTTAGTGTGTAGGTTTTATGGCAAAAAGCCGTGACCTTGCAAAGTCATCTGAGCCCGGAAGCCTTTGATGGACGGTTTTACGCCAAAGGTGCCGGGGTTCAGCACTCGCTCAAACAAGACCATCATGATTATTAATGTTCAAACATTCGGAAACGCAGTGTGCTTTGAACTAATATCAGGGAGCGAACTTGAGATTTCAGCAAAGCACAGAGATGCTGCAGGCTGTGGGACATGACCCAAAATGCTGGGAGAGGCATTAATGATTCATCTAATGATAATTCTGTTACTAATGCAAGGAAGTGGAATATTTTTCAAGTTTGTTTGCAGTTTCTTTTCACTCAAACAGAAGCATTCACAAAAATATGGAATAAAGATTTAGACTGCATTTACAAAATTTATTGCAGCATCAAAACTTGAGGGTTAACAATTAAAATTTTCTGTACCTACTCTAACAACAAGACAAGGACTAATCATATAGAAAAAAACTTTTAATCAAATGTTTTGCCTCATATTGATCAATCATGATTTTTGATTCCATTTTATTGTTTCTCCACATGTATTTTAAAGATACGTTAGTAGACGAGGATCTGTCACATAAAAGGTTGATATCTGACTATTTAAAACCATTAGTTCATTATACAATTAAAGCAGAACTAAGTTAAATGTCATTGTAACTCCTTGTGGTGGTTAAATATGTATTTTCAGGGCATTTGAAGCGTCCGTCATCTCCCTCTACTGTCTCTGGAGGAAAACCACCCTTGCAAAAATGGCTGACATCAATCTAAAGAGAATCCTCCTGGGCAACCCTGGCTGTTTTTTATATTTGGCTGAAAGATACTTAGTTCTGCTTCAAAACTATGCTGCCCTATTGGAGATATTCGGTATATAACTTTTGTGAAGAGGAAGATGCAACCAAATCCACTTCTGCAAAATATTTCTAAAAAACATACAGTTAAAAAAAGATCTAGCTTTATTCACAACTGACCTTGTATTAAAATACTGCATTACCTGATTTCCCTGAAAAGTTTTAACGCATCAAAAGTCTCAAATATAGACATTATTACAGCATACCTGGTTTCTGCTGACTCAAGTTCACTTCAGAGCAGCAAATTGGATTTTGTTTGTCGAGTAAGCATAACAAAATTGTATGCAGATTGTTTTATACTTCCTTATTCAACATTAAAGCCGGAGATGGCGTAAGAGCTGTTGAAAGCATGTCAAATAAGGCCCCATACTGTTCCTCTCAACTGTCAGGAGCCCAGTGGAGCGTTGTGTGACTGACATGAGGCATTTGCTTTGCCATCTATGCACGCACACATTCGGATTGATCTGACTGTGTTTCTCTCTTCTGCAGTTTAACTTTGTGGGCAAACTCCTGGGGCCACGCGGGAACTCGTTAAAAAGACTACAGGAGGACACCCTCACCAAGATGTCAATTCTCGGCAAAGGATCCATGAGAGACAAGGAAAAGGTAATACTCCACACCACTGCACTTCCTTTTTCACTTTGAACTTCGTTTTAACTTTGTCTACACTGTCACTGCTGGAAGTTGCTTGCTGTATGGATTTATCAAAACTGTTTCTTCATAAATTTTAAGTCCAAGCTGGTTTAGTCAAGAACATCTAATATTTATTTTCAATTAGATTTTTCTGACAAGCATTATAATAGTGATTAACTTTTGTTGTAAGTTCACAAGTTCAACGTGTCCAGATGAATTGACAAAAAAGACTGAAATATGAACTGAGAAACTGATTAAAGAATCACATTTCAGAACATGTTTGTACAGTTTTAAAGTGGTTTACAACTTCTCTAATTAGCTTTTTGCATCCATTAAATTGCGATTTTTATTCAATTGCGATTAATCTTGCAGTCCTACATTACTTGCATTATCTTCTCTGACAATTTGCTGTAAGTCTCTCCACTCTTCGACCCATTTTCTGTTTTACTACCTTGTTTGAAAAATCTTACAAGTAAAAAAATCAAACATACTGCACAAATCAACCTTCACGAGGGTTTCTCTCTCATTAGCATAATCAGAGTTGGAGAGTTGTTTGAGTAATCCTGTTTTTCTGTTACTTTTGTTTTTTATCTGTGTTTTTCATGAAATTTCAAATCAACATTCCAAGAGAAAATATTGTTTACTTTCTTGTGAATATGTGAATTATTAATTTACTTCCTTGATTTATTGTGAGATCTATGGACGATGACTTCTGCTGATATTTTTTGTCCGATATGCAGAGACGATGTAGGTAATTTTTCCCAATGGATGAAATTAAAATGTAGGACAGACTAGGGGTGGGCATGATTAGTCGACTAATCGATAATTGATTATTAAGAATTTCGTCGATTACGTTCATTTCTAATCGACAAACCGAATGTTGGTTTCTGTGCGTAGATATGAAGCTGCGTCTGACAGTGCAAACACTGGAGTTGCGGCCTCAGTTCCACATTTGGACTGTAGCTCCTCCTCGGAGACACTGTACCCCTCAATGAGTGCGTTTACATGCACATCAGTGTCCTGGTTTCGTCATGGTGCATGTATGCGCAGTATCCCGTTTACTGCAACTTAAAGAGCTGCGCTAAACCTGCACACGTCCGACCTTTGAAAACATCACGACACACACAGAACAGACTGACCTTCAGCATCAACATCCCTCTGTCACAGAAAGAACACCAATATTCAACTGAGTCATGTCCTTTAATCCGACAGAAGCTGAACCACATCAGCACACAAAAGTGTTTTGTTTTTTTCTTCGCTTAGTTTATACAAATTATCTATGCGGTTTTAAGTGTCATTTCTGTAAGACTTGCGCAAAGCTGCATTAAGCACATTATAATGTCAAACTGGCTGACGTGGCTCTATAGTGGTTATGGTTTATATGTTGTAAAGTTGAGTGTATTTTTGCAGATTAGTAACAGTAATAATAATGATGATACTTGTTATATAAAAAAGTTCGATCATTAATTCTCCCGACGATTGATTAATAAAATTTCATTGAAAGCCCATCCCTAGGACAGACTCATCCACAACCTTCTTTTACTACAAAGTGTGTATAGTGCCGTGTAATCACATTTTTGCAGTACCCTCTTGTCCTCTGCTAGAGATTTATGTTCGATAGCCGATACATTAAAAAAGGGCAAATATCAGCCAACCGATATATCTGTACGGACATGCCTATCTCTACTGTGAATGTTCTGTGTTATGGTAATCCTCCAATTCTTTATGTACAATATCTCAATACAGCACAGACTATCCATTTTATTACGACTCACTTTGAAAGACATTCCACCTGTGACATGCTACCTCCAAAAACAAATCTCAAAAGTAAATGAAAATACAACCGTCTTGGAGGTCAAACCCTTTTTCAATCTTGGCTCTACAAAGCAGAAATGTACCAGATCAAATGCAGAGCGTAGAGACAGTGCTGTCTGCATTCCTGATTTTGTCTTCTTCAAGTATTGGTATAGAACTCAAAAACACACATAAATCTATAAAAAATAACCCCTCGCCAATTCTTTTTAATGAAGCTGATTGCGTGCGGATATAAGGGATCTAAGTGTGCCTGTTTAACTCGCCGCGATTGATTGCCGATTGGACAGTTTAAATCGACTTGTCAGCGTCTGCCCTCCTCCTGTTTGTCAGTGGAGATTTGTGAGACAGCGTGATTCTCGCTATCATATGAGCACATTCTTTTTGATTACAGCAATCAATAGCCTTTGATGGCCGTGTGGAGTTGAGGAGCTATAGACGAAGAAGAGTTGTCACGTTCAAGTACTGACCTCGTGCGTTCACATGTCTTCACCAGAACAACGTGAGATTTATGACGGACACTTCACCAGACCAGAATGTGGCGCACAGCAAGGAATCTAGATGTTTTTCTGTTTCAGTGTCTGAGTGTTCTTTATATCCCGTTGTGGCGGTCTACAGCATGCACTATATCACTGTTCCGGCCTGGTGTGGGGTTAGATTGACTGCTGCTGCTAACATTGAGTCGAACGTCAATGATGAAAACGGGCGGAGCGATATGTGAAAAAAATAATCACCTTTTTTTTTTAACCATATTGATCAATTTCAATCTTCAATCTGATTTTCTTTCATGTTATTGAAAATATAGACCGGTTGATTTCAAGCTTAGAGAGCATGTTGCCAGGATCGATTGCCATTTCATTGAGGTTTCTATTTTTCACACTTTTTTTCTGCCCAAGATTTCTGAAAAGCCATTAATCAAGTTTCTTTATAGCAAAAGAAAACATCAACTGGACAAACGTGTTTTTTATTTACTTTAAAAAGTTTGTCCAGTTGTCAGAATTTAATTTTCACTTAGTGCCTCTGCTCAATTTCATTTTTCTCCAGCAACTAGGTCAGGAATCGGAATACACTAGAGAGTTTGCAAGAACCTCGGAAGTTGTAGACCTCGCTGTGAAGCCATGACGTCAAATTCAAGCATCTGTCTGGGTCCCTTTTGTGGTACAGCACAACAGTAAACAAAGAGGTCGAGATGGATGTAGATGAAGCCATACATTCTGTGTTGGCAACGATTCCTGAGATCAAGGATTTAAAGCCGGAATAAAGAGAATGTTTGGTGAATTTTATCAAGGTTAAAGACATTATTGCCCTTCTACCTACGGGATTTGGCGCATTACATATGCCTACAACCAAATAGCAGCGATTGGTTAAATAAAAAAAGTACCCACTTACTGTCGAGCAAACGAATCCTACTGATGTGAGGTCAGAGAGTTTCCACGAAGTGAAACCAGCAGATGAATCAGGCCTGGACAGAAAAATTTGCTTGAGGTTTTGTGTAAATAATTATATGTAGATTTTTCAGACAGTACTTCTTGAGTACTGTAGTCATATTTGTAAATGAGAATTAGTTCTCAAACGCATTTTTAAGTGACATAATAATAGCATTATTGGGCAGAGTTGGTATGTACTATGGATTTCCTTCCAGTTATAGTAAGGTAATACCCCACGGCCCCTTTTGATATATTTGCGTACACTAACAAGCCTTTATTTGCATACTTCTACACTTGGCCCAGTTAAATGTTAGCCTTGACCTGCATATTATTATAGATTCTTCAGTGGAGCATCTGTAACATCTCTAGTTGGTATTTTGGAAGAATAGAGCACATTATTGAGCTGATGGTAACAGTTACTGTCTGGAAACTTAAGTCAAATCTAGTAACTGTGCTTCACAAATATGTTCTGAAATGCATCTGATTCTTGTGTTAGCTTTTCTCTGTGTTTCTAGATCTGAGTAACAACAAGTAAAACTCTTTTGATATCTTTTCAAAATTCTTCAGCCCTTCTACTTTTATGTTCAAAAGTTCAAATCCAATGAAACGTAGACATCTATAACTGCTGTGTATTAGGACTTACATTCTCTGAGTCGCTCCTGTCCGGCTCTGTCCTGTCAGCAGCAGATGATGTAAAGTCCCGCTCTCGCTCTGCCCCTTCTCGTTAACGCTGTGATTAACTCATCCATTTTCCACTCGGGGACTTGGACTCCCTCTTTAATTCTACTCGTACGCAAAACACATCTCCGTGAGTGGGGTTTGAAACCGAAGATAACACCTTACTGTCTACGGGACGTGCTGCATGCTCGGTCATGTTCCCCTTTGCTGAATTATCATACATTTCATTAACAACCTGATAAAATATGGACGCCAAGCTGATCTGGGAAATGTTTTGCAGATGGGGTAACTACTACTTTTTTTTTTTTTTTCATCTTTTTGAGTTTATCGTGATCTTTTGACTCTCTGAATGAGGCTGCATCAAGTTATCAAGGCTGTAGTTTTTCTGTGGAGTGGATCTGACTCGAGAAGTAATAGAGTGTATAAGGCGTATAGCTGCAAATGGAAATGTGCAGAAGGGAATAAAAAGGACGGTTGCTAGCAAAAGGCATCTATATACAGGTCAGATTTCAAAATACCAAGTGAAATAGGATTGCCTCGGAAAATGTGGATATATTTAAGCAAAAGCAGTACTCCTCTGGTCAGACTCCAGATGAATTAAATTTGTCATGTACTGAATCAGCAAAGGAGCAGAACATTTTGCAGCTTAACATAAAGGTGCTGTGTAACTTTTCTTGTCTACATTTTATTGCTCAGAATGTTTCACACACTGGGTTTGAAGTAATCTATTTGGAAGTTATTAAAAATACCTTAAAGGTGCAATGTGTAACATTTCTGGTGGAGAGTGTTATATATTTGTCTCCATGGAGATGTTATCACTTAACCTGGAATTATCCCACAATGACATTAAATCTGTTTCCATTGAGACAAGCAAATATCACACCATCATGAAATAAATGCTAAATGAATAAATTGCCATGCCATGGAACAGTCAAGGCACATCTCCATGGATACAAGCACATAATGATGCTTAACCAAAAAAGTTACATACTGCACCTTCAAATGACACTTTTTATTTTACTGTCTCCTCTCTACAGATCTGATCTGTAACATGGT